GCATCTCGCGCGCCACTGATGACGCTCCCTGATGCACACCTAACATTCAAATGCAAATGTTTATTTTAAATTTGACTAATATTCATTCTTTATTCACAATCTCCTCATCACAGGCAGGCACAGCACTCATTTCAGCATGTGTTCGTGTGTGCTGTCTGCGTCTCTCATAGCACGTGCCTATATCGTGCACTATATCGAACATTTTTTCTATCGATATGAAGGAAGGTGTACCGTCGATAAATATCGATACCGTTTTATCGCCCAGGCCTACCTTGCATGCATGTCAACCTGTTGTTGGGGACTCCCAAAACCAAAATATGAACCTTTCATTACCCATAATAGGGGCACTTTAAATAAAAAAAAATAAGGCTGAGATTTGCTATATAATACATATCGCTTTACGTGAGTGTACTGTATGTATGTGAAAAGGAAAAAAAAAGAACCCTTTACAAGTCCTTAACTCTTTTTAGTCCATCTGAATCTGTTTAGAAGCATGATTTCAAATGAAGAATTTATTGATCTAAATGTATTAAATTTCTTTACCTTGTATCATACGTGTCTGTACCCACATCAAACTTATATGTAGGAGGGAATTTAAGCGGCCCCTCGTGGAAGCCTTCAAGCACAGTCTCACTGCCTTTAGCCATGTTCAGCTGCAAGACGCAGAGAGGGAAGAATCAAAGAGGACAATACTACAATTAGTGTCAATATTAATAATACTAGCACAGGGAAATATACAGATTAAACAAACATATTTATATTGCATTGTTTTGTCAACATCATGACCTAAATTAAAGGGCACCCAAATGCCTTGTACAAAACAGTCGCTTTGACTTCAACGGCATTTCATATTTTCATAATATTGACATAATGTTATCTGTGAAAACATGGTCTTTGACATTTAGAGGGACTCACCTGGTCTTTTTCCCATAATGTGGACAGTTTGTTATTGTCAATGGCTGATTTCACAACTTGCATATCCAGGTCCTCGATTCGAAAATTCAGGTCTCCAAACCAGAAAACCACACTGCAAACATTTGTCCATCAGTCACATCTTACAATTTTCAATATAAATTTCAAGGTCATAAGGTTAGTTTAATTAACTTCCATCGTGGATTGCATCACCTTGGGCAGCAGGTCACATAATCATAACAAACACTACTGACCCAATCTCATGAGAAAACAACACATCTTACACATTGTTGAATAAAATGCATTTGTATAATTTGTTTCATATAAAAATTTACAATTTGCAGGATAAACGTAAATCTAACCATCATTAGAGCGTGAGCAGCTGGTACAATAACATACGAAGGAGACACAAATTGACCACTAATTTACCAGAATATAAAATTCCCAATTTCTTTGTTTTTGGCTTGTGATCAAACCGTATGGTATTTTGTAGTAAATTAATCGGTCTCTTGGTAGAAACAAAACGAATGATGCATATGCCATCATAGACAGATTGCGTGACAAGAAAAGCATGAACAGCACTGAACAACATACAAGAAACAATTAAAATATTTAGCCATGTCATTGCAATATCAAAATATTATTAATTAATATTTTATTGCAGATGCATGTTGTTTTATTTTAATTTTGTAAGAAAAACAAGTTGGGTCACAACTTTATGTCCAATATAAAATCTGGGACCAGAGCAAAAACAGTTGAGAAATGCTTTCCTAGGGGGGAGGTATAATACAACGGCACCATCTGTTGGTGAGATAAATAATTATGAATTATAATAATTGTGCAAAAGAATTTTGGCACACTTTCTTAAGGTCCTGATGGGAATTAAATATAGTTGCAGTAATAACAATAATGTGTTTATACTTTAATTGTATAGCGTGTGTGTGTGTGTGAGTGTGTGAGTGTGTGTGTGTGTGTGTGTGTGTGTGTGTGTGTGTGCGAGTCTTACTCATGATCCATGACGCCTGTAGCTGCTTGTCCTTCAAACTGCTGCTGCTGCAGGATGCTTTCAAAGTCCTCCATGCGCTGGTCTGAGTTCTCCATGTGTGCAGGCAGATGACAGTTCAAGAAACAGACCGAATGACCAAACACGTTCATGCGAGCGCTGACACCTCCTTTATTCCCCTGCAGAGCAAGAGGGTCAGAGATCAGTTCATTTTTCTAGACTTTTTTTTCTTATAATGTCCTGATCACCTTAGAAATTCTGAACAGTTCTGTACTGTTTTCTCGCCAAACCAAATAAGTGGCTGTGCAAAAAAAAAAAAAGAAAAGAAAAAGAAAAAATTAAGCAAATTGAACACATGGTTGATCAGCTACAAAGTGTCCACATTATTAATGTTTTCATGTCATGCTGTGGCTTTTTCAAACATATTGGCTGTTAAAATAAAGTACATAAAAATGCCTTATTCTGCATGACCATATTTTAGATCCCTTAATCCTACCCCATATCTAATTTACTTAACAACTACCTTACTAACTATTAATAAGCAGCAAATTAGGAGTTTTTTTTTTTCAGGGAAAATAGTGAATATGTGTTCCTTGTTCTAAACTGTTACCAAGACTGCAATAGTATATAGATGATACTAAATAACACTGGTCACCACCACACTTTCAATTGGAATTTATGCTCCTTTTTTTTTTACAATGATTTGTTACATATATGCAAAATGCTGTAGAATTGTTTATGGTAAAAGATGTTTAAAGTACTGCAGTCTTTTTGGAAACTGAAGGCCAAACTATATAATAAAAATATACACAGGGTTTGGTGGATGTGCAGAATTTTGTGATGTACATGCATTTAAATCAATGTAAATCTGCAGATCTTTCCATTAAAATCTGCAGGCAAAACTTGACTCAGACAAGCAGAACTGAAATGGTAACTAATTAATCAAAATATGGAACAGGTGTGCGGTAACCATGGCAATCAGTCATTAGAACTTAGACCTCTGATGAAACATGCGCTGCTGTGCTGAATTATGAGACAAACTGAGTGAATGTCAAAATGTCAAAGCATATCATTTGTCAAATATATCATTTTACCAACTATTTTAATTGCTTAAATACACAATCTTTATATAATTTGCCTTGTGGCAGCTAGGAAATAAGCCACAAACACTTCTCCCAGTTTCACATGTTTTTAGATGTTTTTCTTTTTTAAGTATTTACCGTTTTAAATTGTATAGAGGTCCTGAAAAGAATTTGGACATATTTAAAATTTATGAATTTCGAAGAAACCAAAAATTTTTTTTTTTTTTATAAGTATTTAAAACCTAACTTACACTTGTGTGATTTTTTTTTGCTTGATGAGTGTATTTGTGATATTTATTTTCAACCCCTTGGTTTGATATTTTTTTTACTGAATGAAATGTATTTAAAAAAATTTTATGTATTATGATATTTGCATAATCCTTGTTTGACATTTAAAATGGGTTGTTTTTCATGTGTTTTAATGCATTATACTTTCTAAAGGTGCAGCAATTAATAATTATAATGTATTATATAACTTTCAATTATTTATGAGATCATGCAATGCATTATAAGGTGCATTACAAGACATTAATGCATCAAAAACACTAATACATTTTATATATAAAGGCTTCAAGTGAAATGTTACCTAAAATTCTTTATCAATGATTTAAAAGAGATCATTTGCAGCTTTAAGTATCCTGCAGTTTTCAGTAAACCTTTTAGAGACCGCTTATGTTCGTTCATGCTCTATGAATTTTAGATGAATGTGACTTGGATTTTACTTTTTTAACTTATTAACAATAAAATTATTATTAAATGTGTTCATGCTGAAATCTGCAGAAAAATGGTGCTCTCTGTGTGATATAGATTAAGTTAACTATATTAAATTATAGAAATATAAAAACCATACAGAGGCATTTTTTGCCGCCTATAATTTAGAATGCCTGGAATTTTGAGTTTTAATATACTAATAAATTACATGCGTGCACTCGGTGTGTGATTTGGTGATATAGCCTACTTGAAAATGTCAGATCGCACATCATTACAACAACCCTTACCACATTAGCGCAGACGATGCTGTATCGCACAGCACACACGAGCCTCGACTTGAGTGGAAAATTAATCATCCGTGGTTGTGCGCGCACTTGTTTGCACGTGAGCAAAGGTGTTTTTTAATCTCGTTTTTTAGGAGTCTAACTTGCAAACGCCAGACCACTGATTCGTCAAACCTGCTTTCCTGCAGTCCGTGTTCTTCTGACTATTTTGTAGTAAGTAACGAATATGCTTCGGGGAAATGTATCGGAGTAAAAGTATACATTTTAATTAGGAAATGTAGTGGAGTAAAAGTAAAAGTTGGCTGAAATATAAAAACTCAAGTAAAAAACCCCAAAAATACTTAAGTACTGTAACGAAGTATTATTACTTCGTTACAATACACCACTGCTTATTAATACTCAGGGGGGAAACAGTCTGGCTTTGGTAATTCAATCATTAACTTTGTTATAAAATTTGACACTGTAATTCTCGCTGCGAGAAGTGAGTTTATCATTATGACGGCATCATTTTATATTCATTAGCTGTTTAGCACATTATTAATATTTCAGTAACGCACAGCATGAGATATTTGACAGAACCTCGTTAACAGCTTCCTGTAACCTTTCATATCTGCACACAAGGATAAAATAAATTGGTAGATATATCAGCTGAGAAACATTCAGATACAGAAACGTGGCGTTCCACCAAATAACCGCACATTTACATCAGAAAGGGAAATATGAGATTGCACCCTGAGAAACGGCCATGAAAAGGTCTAAGTGCAGATAACGTACCCAGATCCCGCCGAGGCCGGTGCGAGTGGTCTGTGTTTGAATGCCTCTCAGGAACGGCAGGTGAAAGTACTTGGCAAAGACCAGCAGCAGCATTCCCTGCATCCTCTGAGAAGTGACCTACAGACAGAGAGAAACACACACAGATATATGAGTCAACAGGAGATAAGCAGACTGAAAGTGAATTAGAAGAATTGGACATATTTCCTGCATACAGCCGGGTATATGAAAACACACAACCTGAGTACCAAACGCTTACTCTCTAATTTTAGAGAAAGAAAGAAAACTAAAACAGTTTATAAATAGAAATTGTTTTAATTCATTGAAATAACCCTGAAATAAAGTATAAATATTAGAATCAAAACTTTAAAAACTTATAAATGTTGCCTTGTCAATTATCTGAAATAAAATACATTTGAATACTAAAATTAGTAAAGCTAAAAGCAAAGTAAAGATAAAGCTAAATATAGATAAACATAAAATAATAAAATGGACAAAAACATTAATCATAAAAAAAAAACATTGATTAAAAGACTAAAACTTAAACTAAAATTAAAATGACTAAAAATATAAAAATAAATGCAAATTCATAATATTAATAAATTCTATAATAGTGTAAAATAACATTAAAATAACGCAAATTGTTTATAAACTGTGCAGTATGTATTCCAGTTTTTGTATGAATAGAATATGCTTGTTCATAATGCAAGTGTGTACACTGTATGCAATACTATTGTTAACTAAAACCATTAAAAAAAAATCATTACTTGAAACAAAGTAAACCATGAAAACTGAAATCAAATTTTAAAAAATATTAAACTAAAAAAAAAAAACTTATTTTATCTCAGCTATAGTTGCCAGGGCAGCATGTCTCATTTTCATTTAGTTTAACTTGAAGTACCAAATAAACAAAACTAAATACACTAAAACTAATAAATAAAAATGAATACAAACTATGTAGATATTAAAAAAATAATATCAATCACAGTTGTAAGTAATAATGACAGCACAATAAAACGTCACTAAAGGTAAAGTGACAACAGAAAAATACTAAAAAACATTCTAATTCAAAATATTACCAAAAACTACAATAGTACATCAATAAAACGATGCCGTGGGCTCCACTGGACCTTCCACTTCCAGTTTTGAGCAGAAGTGATTTCAAATGGGATTTTTAACATCCTTCCAGAGAGAGATGTTCAGAATTCTAGCCAACTGCCTACCCTGTAGTACATACTTTAGTGTAGAAACACTATATACAGCATGCAAAAATAAAGCAAAAATGTATAGTAAGCAACATTGTTTTCATAGATTATTTTTCCACACAGAAAATAAAGCCAGATAAAATGAGGAGGAGTCTAACTGATAGAAAATAGAAACATGAGCCGCAAGACCAGCAAAGAGATTTTCATCCTCAGCCACTCAGTCACTGTTACATAATGTGACCCCTGAAGCTCTAATGACAACTGTATGAATGTGTGTGTGTGTGTTTAAAGGGAACATTACTGACCAGTACATATCCAAAGGGGCTGAGAGCGTCCATGCAGACCTCGCTCCACTGGTCAGTGAAAAGAACATCTTTCAGTCGTTTGTTGATCATTGAGTTCACTTCCTGTAAACTGAGACAGGGTGCAAGAAAATACAGACATGAGATGAAGCTGAAATTAAAGGACAGAAAAATATCAGAATGGAGAGGTAGAACAGACCTCAAGGCAGGCGGTAGATTATACTGTATCTCTAGTGTTCTTATGTAGGTCATGTCCTAGATTATGACCTTCGCATTATAACGTACTAACTCCATCTATTCTGATGAAAACTTGCTTTACAAAAATTGACAGTGTATTATTTTGATTGTCTAGATTATCTTCTCTCCAGAGTATGGGTCTGAGTTCCTACTGATGTCATTAACAGGATACTAAATAAAGTTTATAAAATCTCATGATCTGATGTTGCTGGTATTGAAATTAATATATCATGCTTTCCTTGTCTATGAATCATGGAATTTGAAGCCCGTTACATGAAGTCTTCTTGACCACATACTCAGTAAGACTTTGTCTCTTTTTAAAGAAATGAATACTTTAATTCAGCAAAGGTGCATTAAATTTATCATTAAATGCATTTATTATGTCACAAAAGGTTTCTATTTCACATAAATGCTGTTATTTAGAATTTTACATTCATTGTAGAATCTTGAAACAACTGTTTTCAACATCTGTGATAATCAGAAATGTTTCTTGGGTTGCAAATCAGCATATTAGAATGATTTCTGAAAGATCATGCGAAAATTCAGCTTTACATCACAGAAATAAATTACATTTTTGAAATATTCTCATACAAAACAGTTATTCTGAGCTGTAATAATATTTCAGAATATTTTCACTGTGTTTTTAAAGAGCACAAGAGACTTCTTTCAAAAAAGACCCCAAACTTTCAACTGGAAATGTAGTTCAGTCATTTGTATTTCATTATGGTTACACTGATTGACCTTGTCAAACTAAATATTTCAGTCTGTTTTGGAGGTAGAAAATCACAGTGATTCTTGTTCTTTTAAAATAAAATACTAAAAGGTTTTGTGGTGCAGTGAAATTGTTATTATTGTCCGTTTAAACACTGACCTTCAACCCTGTGATATTCAACCAAAAACTATTTGTAAAAGGATTGAATGGTTGTTACAGAGGACATGATTTGAAGGAGAAAACAATACCGTTTGACTAATATGAAAATATTATAATAATATGAGGCGTAAATATATTTAAAAAAATATATATAACCTAAATTTTCAAAAGGTTACTGTTGAAAATTCAACAGTAACCTTTGTAAATAACAAAAAAAAGAAATTTTCTGAGAAATTGTCAGTAGGAACATTTCCAAGTATGCATCTGTGATAACTTTTCATGCTGAGCACCTTTCCTTTAGAAAAGCAGCGGCTCTCAATGGAAATCTCACCCTATAATATACATGTCTGTGTTTCCATCACCAACATTCAGCCCCAGTAATGAAGTGATGGTTTGGCGCAGCTCGTCAGTGAACAACGGCTCTGTGTAGTTAATGCTGCTCAATGTGAAAGCACGCAGGTGATGGAGATTTACCGCTGATTACAGAACCGGCTTTACTGATAAGATGCGCGTTAAAAATCGCATGCGATTTATCGTGCAGCCCTAGTTCAGTCATTTGTATTTCATTATGGTTACACTGATTGACCTTGTCAAACTAAATATTTCAGTCTGTTTTGGAGGTAGAAAATCACAGTGATTCTTGTTCTTTTAAAATAAAATACTAAAAGGTTTTGTGGTGCAGTGAAATTGTTATTATTGTCCGTTTAAACACTGACCTTCAACCCTGTGATATTCAACCAAAAACTATTTGTAAAAGGATTGAATGGTTGTTACAGAGGACATGATTTGAAGGAGAAAACAATACCGTTTGACTAATATGAAAATATTATAATAATATGAGGCGTAAATATATTTAAAAAAATATATATAACCTAAATTTTCAAAAGGTTACTGTTGAAAATTCAACAGTAACCTTTGTAAATAACAAAAAAAAGAAATTTTCTGAGAAATTGTCAGTAGGAACATTTCCAAGTATGCATCTGTGATAACTTTTCATGCTGAGCACCTTTCCTTTAGAAAAGCAGCGGCTCTCAATGGAAATCTCACCCTATAATATACATGTCTGTGTTTCCATCACCAACATTCAGCCCCAGTAATGAAGTGATGTCGTCAGGAGGCATGGCTGAGCCCACGTTCCACGTGATAATGTGCACCCTTTTGGCAGAAAGAGACATTAGAGAACAGCAGTCATCTGTGTACACATGTTCACATACTGACAGTCTCTACTGCTGGTTTTTCTTAGGCACCGCATCCAACAGCATTATTATGCAACTGTATTACCGTATAAGGTGAATGTGAGTGTTTTCTCCTGTAATTCACTGCTGAATATCTTTAGTTGGGACAGTGAAATAACAAAGCTGTGACTGTTGACACTGACAGATTGTGGGTTTGCCCTATAACTCATCTTTTCAATTTACAAACAGCAAGCAAAGACTGCGCAAACAAGTATCCTTGCGGCATATTAGTGAATAAACAAATTAAAGAAATGGAAATGGAAAGGGAGTAAGAACATCATCAGGACGATTACACAAAACACTGCACACTTGCAAAATCAACCTCGTTTTGTCGTGTCACATTAAATGTGTTAGTAAATCATCTCAATGAAGATCCAAACAATGCTAGGAATATATAAATATTAGGGATGTAACGATTCACTCAACTCACGATTCGATTCGATTCACGATTATAAAAATATCTGCATGAAACAGCAGAGCTGAATGAGACGCAGATTCACTCTCTGCCAGCAGGTGGCGCTTAAAGCGTTTCCTTGGTTTCCGCTGTAAACAAAGGAGCGCTGCACTTATGAACTTTAATATGCATTATACAGAGGTGTAAAAGATGAAAAGAAAAAATACCATCCAAACTTTTCTAAAGACAGTAAGTTCCCCTCAGACATACATTCATATTAACTCCTACACCTAAATGAATCGCGATTTGTTTAGCATCTCAACCGATTTGAATCGTCATATATTTGAATCGATTTTCAACCGGCTCGCGGTTAATCGTTACATCCCTAATAAATATTCAGTATATTTTTCAAGAATTCCACAAGCACCCCTCCAATATTCAGTAGGCTATCAACCTTTATTTCAAATAAAGAAATAAATGTAAAATATACATCAATTTCAAAAGAATTGTTCACCCAAAAAAGAGAATGTACTCAACCTCAGGGCATCCAAGATGTAGATGAGTTTGTTTCTTCATCAGAAGAGATTTGGAGAAATTTTGCATTACATCACTTGCTCACCAGTGGATCCTCTGCAGTGAATGGGTGCCGTCAGAATGAGAGTCCAAACAGCTGATAAAAATATCACAATAATCCACAAGTAATCCACATGACTCCAGTCCATCGATTAACATATGTGAAGTGAAAAGCTGAGTGTTTGTAAGAAATAAATAAATCATTAAGACATTTTTGCTTCCATCTAAAATATGAGTCCACTATATACATAATATTGCTTTCTCCCATGGAAAAAAAATTGTCTCGTCTGAATCAGGAGAGAAATATGCAAAGATCAAGCACCGTTTATAAGTGAAAAACAGTCCAAAATGGTTGTAAACAATCTGAGATGACAACAGGGGATGGACTTTTTTAAACTGGAGGAAGCGTTATTATGGATTATGGACTCTCTCATTTTGGCCAAAAGCAAAGGTTAATATGGTTAATAAAATAGTTAAAATGTCTTGATGGGTTTTTTTCTTCTTCACACAAACACTCAGCTTTTCACTTCACATATGTTAACTGATGGATTGGAGTGGTGTGGATTACTTGTGGATTATTGTGATGTTTTTATCAGCTGTTTGGACTCTCATTCTGACGGCACCCATTCACTGCAGAGGATCCGTTGGTGAGCAAGTGATGGAATGTTACATTCCACTAAATCTGTTCTGATGAAGAAACAAACTCATTTAAAACTTTGATGGCCTGAGGATGGGCACATTTTTAGCAAATTTTCATTTTTGCCTTCTCAAATTTATTTAAAATTTGATTAAGCACACTGGACTGCTGCAGGTTAATGGGGAAAAAGACTGTTGACAAGCTTTGGGGTCAGTAATTTTCTTTTTTTATACGTACAGGAAATCGATACTTTTATTGAGCAAGAATGTAATAAATTGATCAAAAGTGAAAGTAAAGATGTGTTGTAAGTAGAAGATTTCAAAAACATTTAAAAAAATCTTCCCAACCCCAAACATTTAAATAGAAATGTATATATTATTCATTCAGGATCCACATTTGCAAAGGAAAATATACAGGCTATTTAAGCAAATTCAAAATTCAAGATAATTCACATTAATGTCCAAAAGATGTTTTATTGTTTTAAAAAGTAAAAGTAGCAATAATCTGTGTTCTCATGAGTAACGTCTCGGTTACGTATGGTAACCCTCGTTCCCTGAAGGAGGGAACAGAGACGTCACGTCGGATGACCGACGAATTGGGATCTCGCTTAGAGAGACCAATCTACTTCGAGTGTAAACTAAATGAGCCAATGCACATTGGCATGCGATTATTGCATCCACCTGCCGCTGATCACAGCGTGAGTATAAGTAGGCAGCAGATGCAGCGCATATTCAGGTTTTCTGTACCACCGCTGAGCGGCTGGGTCACCGGCTCGGCTCCTCAGCGAAAACCTGAATATGTGCTGCATCTGCTGCCTACTTATACTCACGCTGTGATCAGCGGCAGCTGGATGCAATAATCGCATGCCAATGTGCATTGGCTCGTTTAGTTTACACTCGAAGTAGATTGGTCTCTCTAAGCGAGATCCCAATTCGTCGGTCATCCGACGTGACGTCGAGAGTGACAGACTGAAAGGGAACTGTATGCACTATATGTAGATGCTGTGAATGCTGTAAGCCATAATAATGTGGAATGTGGAAGTACTGTAGATGTGCAGGTAGGCTACAGTTCAGCCAACAGTCATGCCCAAACCTGCACTTGTGCACTTGGCAATCTAAAGTTTAGTTCGTACTAAAGTAAAACACTTTTGAACTGGCTAATCAAGGCCTTTAAGTTCACTTGTTCGCCCAAAAGCAGAATACAGTGCAACAGGTGGCTTCCAGCAGTAAAATATTCCATACACTTTCACCAAAATTGATTTTTAAAGGGGTCATGAATTGAGAAATAAAAATTCCCTGGATGTATTGACATGTAAGAGGTCATTTTACTATAAAAACATCCTGTGAGTTTCAGAGCTCAAAATTTCCTTGTTAGTCCAAAAACAGCTTTTATTGAAACCAAGCTCAGAAAATTACTCATTTCAGATTTTGTCACATTATGACGTAATAGTGCAATGAACATCAAGATGTGAACCTGACAGTAATATCACAACATGTAAGTATTAGTATTAGGTATCTTAATTGCTGGAGCGGTCAATCATCTCTTATTTACATCGTGCTTGCACTGTTACTTATGATGAAAGCATTTGCGAAAGTGCAAAACTCGAGTTGTAATGACAAGATCACTGCATTCATACGCTCAACAGTCTGTCTTCGGCTACAATGCTCATTGCTGCAACCTTTCATGCGACAGGAGTAAATATAATACTATAATCAACACTCTGCATCACTAGTTAATCTCAACTGCTGTAATAATAAAAATGTAGTAAAAGTTTTTGAGAGAGCTCCACATGTAATACTTATTTCATATGCAAAGATGTTAGCCAATCACATCAACGGGCATTTCCCCTGAAGTCTCACAGCAGACACACCCCTTCCAACCGAGCTTTCAAATCAGAAGGCTAAAATCAGGGTAGAAAATGTCATTTTTTCTGAATTATGACAATTTTTTATGTAAAAATCATACCAATATTACAAGTGCACCTTAGGAAGCATTATCAAATATTAAAAAAATGCAGTTCATGACCCCTTTAAGAACAGCATGTAAATATTTGACGACAGACCAAACATGAGCTCTAAGGTTGTCAAGTAATGGTATGCTTATGTATAAGCCATTAGTCCTGGTGTCAAACTCAGTTCCTGGAGGGCCACAGCCCTGCACAGTTTAGATTCAACCCTAATTAAACACACCTGATCCAGCTAATCAAGTCCTTCAGGCTTATTTGAAAACTACATGGTATGTATGTTATGGTGCGTGCAAGTCATGTCGGATACATCGTATTTACGCGTTGAACGCACATGAACAACACCACAAAGTCGTTATTACGAGTGGGAAACTCGAAATTTTCTTTAAGCCCTGAGTTTCCGAGTTGGGGGCGTGTCAGTGAGAAAACGTCTCAGATGCAATGGACGCAGCCAAAGACTATAAATATGCAGCGTCTGTATTGACGGTAAATTTGTTGAAATTAATAAAATTATTAATTTTTTGTAATGTACAATAAAACTGTTACACAAAATATTATATTATTGTATAATTACCATAGAATATATAATTATTCAGTTTGCATCAAATGCATAAATTAAATAAAAACAGAAAAAAGAAAAAAAACACAGTGATGCACATTCTTCATTCATCATTTTGTAGATGTAGAGTTTTAAAAAAAATCGTTGAATTTTATGTAGAAAAGTTAAATCGCCATCTTGTTCCGACCAAAGTGACTTGAATGCACCTGACGTCGTAATTACAACTTGTCAACTCGTAAGTACGAACGTCCCAGGAGGACTTCAACGCAGCATTAGAGCAGGGTTGGAACTAAACTCTGCAGGGCTGCGGCCCTCCAGGAAATGAGTTTGACACCTAGTCAGAGCAATTTTGAACTACATTAAAAAAATAAAAAAAAACTTCTAGTGAAGAACTACACTACCCATAATCCTAAGAGAGCTCCAATTACCATGGAATATATAGTAGCTGCAATTACCATGGAATATATAGTAGCTGCAATTACCATGGAATATATAGTAGCTGCAATTACCATGGAATATATAGTAGCTGCAATTACCATGGAAACAGATTTTGGTGTAACCCCAGTGTCCTGGCCAAATTGCCGCCACTGGCCTTTGTCAATCATGGCCTCCTAATAATCCCCATCTACTTATTTGGCTCTATGACTCTCTCTCCTCTCCACCTGCAGCTGGTGTGTGGTGAGTGCACTGGCGCCGTTGTACTATGGCTGCTGTCGCATCATCCAGGTGGATGCTGCTGGTGGTGGTTGAGGAGATACCCCCCCATATGATTGTAAAGCGCTTTGGGTGTACAGCAATACACAATAAAAGCGCTATACAAATGCATCATTCATTCATTCTACTCTGACTTCTTTTTCTCAGAATTGCAAGATATAAACTCACAATCGTGAATGATAAAATCAAATTCTGAGGGGAAAAAAAAAATTTCTAACAATTGCGACTTTATCACGCAATTCTGACTATTATTTGCAATTGCGAGTTTATAACTCTGTATTTCTGAGAAAAAATCTGAATTGCGAGTTTATGTCGCAAAAGTCGCAATTACCTTTTATTTTTTAATTAGTGGTAGAAATGGGCTTCAACACTATTTATGCACATAGTCAATTACTAAAAAGTCAGTTATAAAGTTGTAATATTGCAAACTTTTCAATGTAATATTTTCACTCTTGGCCAGAAAATATAATTGGCAGTTGAAATTGAAACCATAATGCAACACTTTTTAAGTGAGCTACATTGTTAAAATCGTACCTGAAATCCTCCACCACCTGCGGCTGAGTGTCGGCGGTCCCAGCGACAGACAGGGCTCTCTGTGGGTGAAAGACGGGATCGGTAGGTGGTGGTCTGTATGACGGGGCCTGAGGAAGCGAGGCGGCCCTCATTGCAAGGTGGCTCCGAGACACTGCAGTATGTCCTGAAAGCTTCTGTCCAGCCAAACTTGGAGGTCCGTGATCAACATTGAGTTTAGGCTGAGGTTCTGAGGGGTGATTGGAGCTGTTGGGGCTGGTTGGTTCAGCCTGGTTGCTCAGCTGCTGCGGTTTAGGAGATTCTGGAGGTTTGGGCTCCGATACGTCGATAGATCCTTCCACCCGCGGGCTCCTCTGAGGCCGGCGTGGCCTGGCTGGAGCCGCTGGTGGTGTAGAAGGGGCAGGAGAAGATGTGGAGGATGGGGATGTATCTGCTGGTCCTTTTGGTTGTCCAGATGATGCCAGATCATTAGTCTTGCACTGGCTTTGAATATGTTGCTCTGGTTCCATCCTTATCTAGCAAAATGAAGCACACTGGTGGATCAATCAGCATGTGCATTTCAACTACATTTACTTGTTAACTACATTTTCAATTTCTCCTTGGTAAAACTCCTGATAGAATCACAATGAGGCATTTAAAAACAAACATGGCATGACAAAATAAAGGCTGCTCATATAACGTTCATATACTGTTCCCATTTATTTCCAAATGCAAAATGGTTTGAATGAAATGATGTAAACAGCAACACCTTGTTAAAAAGAAGCACACTTTAGCATACTTTTCAAAAGAGTACTTACTACAGAAATAATATACTTAAGTGCAAACTGAATGTAATGTTTCAAACACTTGAAGTGCATGTTAATCACGACTAAATGAAAATGTACTGAATTTTACTGAAGTTGGACTTAAAGGGGTCATATGATGCGATTTCAAGTTTTCCTTTCTTATAAAAGTTTTATAAAAGTTAAGACTGGTCCACGCCCTCCTAAAATGCCTCGTTTAAACACGCCTCCACATGTCTACGTCACTGTGTGGGAAGATTTGCATAACGCCGCCCAAATGTTCATGCAAAGAAAGAAGGCGTCATGACAGCGATTTAAACTTAATTCACTTCAATAAAGATAACTATACATGCTATTCTTGTCATGAGCATCAAGGTGTGGGGGCGCTGCGGTGCAAATTCCACTCATGTTTAGTACATGTTAACTCAAAGATTCGTAGAACAAATATAAACATTGGACTCTGTGGTTGATTCTGTGTTAAGGTAAGGAATTGTTACACTGAATGACATTTTAGTGTGTCTCTTCTGTAAATCAGGGAAAAATGTATGATATTTATTTTTTGCTCAGAAAAACAAAATTGCAATTAAATTAAACAGAAAATTGTTGAATTTTTTTGGGGGGGGGGGAAACAACAACAATTTAAAGCAGTATTACACTTACTGTTTTTATGCTTAAACTTTTCGTCTTTGACCCAAGTACATCTGAATGAAATTGTAAAATGTAATTTCATAATTTTATTGTCTTTGAAATACGGTTCAAGTGTACTTTAATGTCATTTCTATTGAAATGCCAAGTATTATTTATATTTATATTTGTAATGAAAGAGTACATTTAAAATAAATTAATGTAACACTTTATTTAAGGTGTCCTTGTTATACGTTACATGTACTTACTATTATAATAATAGATACAATAATACAATAAAAAATAATAATACAATAAATTATGCATAATTACATGCAAGTAACCCTAACCCAAAAGTTAGGCCACTGATCAGTTTTGTTTTAATAACAGTTATATTGGACACCTAGCTTAGTGACATGCATTGCCTAGCTGTATTTTAACAGGTTAAATCTCTGTAATCCTTTTGGTTTGTTTTAAGTTAAAACAGGAACTCACCAAAACCACATGAGCAGTGTTGGGTTGTACTGACACTGGGTTGCATAATCTTAGACTTTTGCCTTTGAAAAAGTCTTCAACAGATATACTGTGACCAATATTAGAATGAAGTTTTTTTTTTTTGTTTGTTTGAATTATTCTTATTTTCAGCATTACTGTGTTTAATTATTACATTACAATATTCTGTATATGATTACACTATAATAACATAGACAAAACACTCGGTTAATATTTGATTGGTTGGCATGATAGCTGAAGAGTTAAACACAGAGAAGCTCTTCCAAGGTGATGGGTTTCATCTCTAGCTTGAGGGGAGTCTATTCTAGTTTGAAATGACTCTCTCTGAAATGACAGCTGACAGGCTGGACAAAGAACTAGACTAGACAACAGACACAGCTGTGAAAGTTCCCTACCCACAGGAAACACTACTTATAGTTGAGTCAATCATTTCAAAACTCTTCTTGATGTTGTTGTGATGCAAATACCAGAAACAGTATATCCATTGATATACTTATGACAGTTATGTTATGTTAAAAGGGTAAGTGACTGCTGTGTACTAGAAGTGAAAAACACCACTGTATGATTATCAGCATAAGTAAAACTTGAAAAACCTGTTGTACTGAAAAGTCATGTTCATATATACGAGTATCAAATATGAGTAAGCTTTTGAGGAATGCTTGCTTGTGCATCTCTCAATCATCGTTACATTGCATTAAATATTTTGATCATCAAACTAAGCATTTAAATATCATCTTTTTAAGACATATTATTGATTCATACAACTGATATATTATGCATTTTATGTCAGGAGTCTGGTATAAAGATCTCATTGAGTTACACCACAAGCTATTAGAATTTAATCTTACTTTTTGGTCATATAAATATCAGCATTTGCACCAAATTGGATATGTTGCTAACTTTGGGCCTCTGCATAAAACTGGGGTGTTTTATAAAAGCCATGATGTATCCAATTTTTTTGCTAAAGGTCCAATTCTGTTCGATTTAAAAAAATAAATAAATCTGACTTTTATTTTATATGACAAGATTAAAATCACTAAAACCCTCCAGTATCGCTTTCAACAATACAAACACCATTATCCAAAGTCAATAGTCTGAACCTATAGGCATATTAAATATTGAGACAAATAGCCAACAACCCAATTTCAAATATGTATACAGAGTCATGTGTCTACTATGTTTCTGCACAGTTGACATGCTCTACGCCTCGCTGTGCTCTGCTCTGCCTGCCTGACCGGCTTTCACTGTATTGACAAGATTGTTACAGTCAAGCACACGTCTAGAGGTATTTGCTTATCAGTGTGGAATAACACAAAGCATGTGACCAGCAGGAAAAAGAAAAGAGACTAAAATATAGACTCCACCTAGAAATGACCCCGAACGCAATGAGTCATTGTGTATGTATTTGAATATGCATACACACATATACACCCACATCAATGGATGTGTGCAAAATTCTAGCAGTGAATCATTGTGTTTGCATTTGAATACGTGTTTGTTTGTAAATAGATGGGCAGACAGAGAGACAGACAGAGAGACAGACAGAGAGACAGACAGACAGACAGACAGACAGACAGATAGATAGATAGATAGACAGATGGATAGATGGATGCTTTTTAGGCATGCAGCTGTGCTGAGTGTTGAAAACTTACATGCATAATTAAAAATTAAGCTTGAAAAATTAGACGTTTGTGGGGGTGGGTGGGATTCAGTCACTTCATAGCAAATGAGTGAACTGTACTTGTTGTGTTGTCCATGGTAAAGTATAATTAAAATCATTGCAAATTAGTTAACATGGTGCACTGTTGTTTTATGAGTGGTTTTATATATGCAATGTAAATATTCTAATACTTTTGAATCATAGTTATACACGTGAGGTTGGTGACTGAGAAATTGCTGAAGGTCACCTTACAATAATGTGCATTATGACCTACTTCTGTGTCTGTGTGTGTTTTATTAGAGGACGAATGAAGAAGCTTTTGAACCATTCGATATCTGATAGCGCTAATTACATTGAAAGGCTGTCTGCGATGAATAAAGCCACAGTTACACAAATGCACATGCATTTCTCTCTTTCAAACACACACACTAACACACATTGATTAATGTCACACATTTATACATACAATAGAAATGATAAACAATAAATAAAAAAACAATAAATAAAACCCAGATAGAAAACATGTAAACAATTCAGTATCAGTTAAACACCACTGAAGCAAAGACACAGCACTTGGGTCCAATCTAAATGCATATAACCACAGCTGTAATAATAATAACATAACATATAGGCTATTATATTATTAAATTATGTACGAATTATCAATCATACCTGTGCAAGCACTCAGAGTGTTTGCACTTGTGCTCTATTGCATATTACAGTTTAACAGTTATAGTGTTTGCATCAGTCTATTTCTTACCCAATTTCCTTGTTCAAGACAGACTGAAAAGAACTGGTGGTATGTTGACAGGAAATATTATTGGCACCGATGGAAACCAGGCTCACTGATCAATATATTCAAATAGCTTCGCAGACATCAAAAAAGCTCATCATTATGCGACAATATTGTCCAAGCTGATAAATGTGAAAGCGCGTTCACTCAATAGATAGATCCAATGTGACACATCAGTCAGTGCCCGTTCTTCCTGTTACATTACCGGCGAAGGACCTTGAGGTTTAGAAGGAGAAAATGGGTCGCTGAAGGCAGGTGCATTTCATCTGCGGATGTCGCGGTGTTCTTCGACGTGATTTGGTTTCGCCAAGCAAACCGCAGCGCCTGCTGTCAATGACAGACGCGAACGGTCACTGCTGTCCTTCAGAACTGCTGCTCGCGCTTCATTCTTACAGCAGCGCTGCTGGCGTTGCTTTCGTCAGCGATTTAATCACCGCGGACGTAACGCTCTTGTCACGTGGTATTCCGCTGAAGCGCCGCTATAGATATAATAGATAATATCTGAATTTCCACCAGAGCATGCGAGGTAGCCAAAAGGTTAAAGGTTTAGCATTTAGCATTGGTTTCATGCTCTGTTTCAGTGTAAATGATATGCCGCATGAGAACGCTTTGCCGTTGTCATGGCAATCAGCGGGTATCGTTTTTTAAGCATACATTTAAGTATGCAAATGATTCACATATTACGCTTTGAATGCCAAATGAAAGCCAAATGTGTATTTTTTTTTCTTCAAATTTTGTTACATTATTACAATTATTACGTATGAAAACAACGTATTAAGTAGACTAAAATTATGTACAAAACAAAGCTGAGGGGGTCATAGCCATATCACCCTGCAGCCCAAGACTGGTTGCCCACTGAAGCTAAGCAGGATTGAGGCTGGTCAGTACCTGGATGGGAGACCTCCTTGGAAAACTAGGTTGCTGCTGGAAGAGGTGTTAGTGAGGCCAGTAGGGGGTGCTCACCCTGTGGTCTGTGTGGGTCCTAACACCCCAGTTTAGTGACGGGGACACTATACTGACAAAAGCACCGTCTTTCGGATGAGATGTTAAACTGAGGTCCTGACTCTCTGTGGTCATTAAAAATCCCAGGATGTCCTTCGAAAAAGAGTAGGGGTGTAACCCCAGCATCCTGGCCAAATTCGCCCATTAATTGGCCTCTGACCATCATGGCCTCCGTCCTAACCATCCCCATACACTGATTGGCTTCTTCGCTCTGTCTCCTCTCCACCAATAAGCTGGTGTGTGGTGGGCGTTCTGGCGCAATATGGCTGCCGTCACATCATCCAGGTAGATGCTGCACACTGGTGGTGGTTGAGGAGATTCCCCTCTTCTATGTAAAAGCGCTTTGAGTGTAAGGAATTATTATTATTATTACCACATTTACCAAAAATCAATTATTAGTAACTACCCAAGAATAATAATAATAAAAGTTTTAAATTAGTTAATGTCCCTTAAACTCCAGTCCATCCCGTTACATTGGTGCTGCTTGACTTGTGCTTTTAGTAGCATCATTTTCTTGGAGGCTATAAGCAACATAAACTTTTCTCTATTTTCCTGATTTTAAGAAAACTTAAATAGCATAAAGCATAACATGTCCACCCCGTTGTGTCAGTTTATACTGGACAAATATATTTCTTCCTAAATGTTAGGATTAACCAGTAATCCATGCTGTTAAGGTCCACTGTTATGCTATTAAGGTCCACCATGTTGCACACTGTATTGTAAAATTGTTATATAACAGGGTGGACAGACTTCATAGAATGTGAATGTTAAATATTTGATCAGTCTGTTTTCTGATAGACATTTTTCCCTCTGATAAGACAAATAAAAAAAATACTTACTCAGTCCAAAGTCCAAACCTGCTCAGTCCAAAATCCACCAAACTGTAGGAATGACCTTGTTCTCATATTCTTTAATCAAAAACGTTAACTTCCCCTCACAGCAACATCTCTTCTCTGGTGACATGTGCACTGACGCAAGGGCAGCACAATAATCCCACCCCTCTAGACACCTGTCACTCACATGAGATCGCAGCAATTAGCAAACAACAATTATCCAATTGTCATGTCTATGTTCATTTCCTTCCGTGGTTTCTGTGTTTATTCCCACTCTCATTTGTTGCCTTCATAATTCATTTGTTCAATAATTAATTAGTCCTACCTGTGCCTTGTTTTTTTATAGTTTTTTTTGCACAGAGTATTTATAACCCATGTTTACTTAAAGGGGTCATATGACGTGATTTCATGTTTTCTTTTTTTCTTTGAAGTGTTACAAGCTGTTTGTGCATATATAAGATCAGTAAAGTCACAAAGATTAAAGTCTCAAACACAAAGAGATATTCTTTCTTAACTTTTATTCTCGCTGTAGTATTGTTTCCGCCGCCGTCATGGAAGCTGATATTCAAAATATGGTAAGGGGAGTAACATTTCCATCACATGCTTGAGGTATTCGGCCAATCACAATGCACAGGATAGCTGGCCAATCAGAGCACAGCACACCACAATTTACAGGATGAGCTTTGTAAAAATCGTAAAAAAGCATTTCAGAAAGGCAGGGCAGAGAGGAGCAACAATTATGTATGGTATGTGGAAAAAATAATGTGTTCCCCCCCTTAATGACAAATGAAATAACACAAAATAATAGTCTCAAAAGCTTTAGATTTATTCACTATTAATAACAGCCATATATATATATATATATAGGGTTTCTTAGGTCTAAGAGTTTCTTTAGAAAGTAGAAAGTTCTTTAGTCCTTTTTTTAAAAATCAAATGTAAATTCCTGTCTCAGTCACATGTTCTTGGTTAAATAAACATTACTTACACTACCAGAAAACAACAACAACAAATACAATTCTATTTTATATTTTTACATTAACAATGCAATCAATATTCTGTTTATTAAAGCCAAGTATGAATATCATCAAGTTTTTAAGCATTTTACATTTATTCCAAAACTTAAAAAGGCGGTTCATGCTCGAAAACCCTCCAATGTGGCTGAATTACAACAATTCTGCATAGATGAGTGGACAAATTCCTCCACAGCGCTGTAACAGACTCATTGCAAGTTATCGCAAACGCTTGATTGCAGTTGTTGCTGCTAAGGGTGGCCCAACCAGTTATTAAGTTTAGGGGGCAAACACTTTTTCACACGGGGCCATGTAGTTTTGGATTTTGTTTTCCCTTAATAATAAAAACCTTCATTTAAAAACTGCATGTTGTGTTCACTTGTGTTATCTTTTGCTAATCTTTAAATTCCTGTCTCAGTCACATGTTCTTGGTTAAATAAACATTACTTACACTACCAGAAAACAACAACAACAAATACAGTTCTATTTTATATTTTTACATTAACAATGCAATCAATATTCTGTTTATTAAAGCCAAGTATGAATATCATCAAGTTTTTAAGCATTTTACATTTATTCCAAAATAATAACTCAAGGCAGTAACAATTTAAACAAAATATTTTATTTGTGAACTTATGTTCAGCTATTCTTTATAATAGTTAACTTTTAACTATTTTTGAATTATTCGGTTCATCATTCATCAAAGCTCAGTAAATATTGGTCACAGACACAGAAATTTACTTTAAATTTCAACATGCTGATTTACTCACTAAAAACTCCCACAGATCATGTTTTCAGACCATTTCAAGTCTTATTTTGACGTAACAAAGTGGTTACATCTAAGTGTGTGAGTTGTTTACTTACTTTTTTAAATGAGTCTTCCCATTAATGCCATTATATTGTTCATTCAGACTGATTCGCGAACGCGCATGAACACAAGAGGCGGGATTTATCGCATGAACCAATCACAATGTTTCTTTAGAAAAACGTAAAGAAAACACTGTACTTATTCAAACAACACGATCTTTATTTACCCTTGCAGACCTAGTTCAGCTGCTGTGGAACTTAAGATAGAGGGGGCGGAGTTATGAGGTTTTACTGACAGTTTGAGCGGATCCAACCAGATTTAGTCACAAGCTCTTTTTAATACCTTTCATTAGCTAAATATTTGTAAAGCAGACAGACAGATGTAAAGGGTGACCAATATCATTGATTTATTGAAGGAAAGAAAAACCCACCATCACCAAAAAAAAGGGCACTTCGGAGTGTAAGGGCAAAAAGGGCATGTGCTCTGCACAGATTGAGCCCTACCTGTGCATGTGCCTGACATCATATGACCCCTTTAAGTCTGGTTTCCATTGTCATTGCATTGTGGATTGTGCTGATCTTGTGTTTGTTTCTGTATTCCTGAGCGTTTTGTTTTCATTTAATTTCATTAGGATCCTGCCTCCTTGCCTCCACCACACCATGATAGAAGAATGGAAACATGGATAGCAGCAGCTTTTGTGGATCTTGATCTAGAAGGACTTTCTTTGTCTCAAAATTCAGTGAGGTTTTGTGAGTTGGTGAGGTGCACCATCTTAGACGACGTCAACCTGAAGACGAAATTTTGGGTTGGTTCCAACTATAATGTGGACAAGCCAGAAATGGAGAATAATACATGGAGAAACTACATCCTCCTTTGCCTGGACTTCCCCTACCCATTGTCGGTGTCCTCACCCGTGCACATTGTGGACCCTCAGTTAGAGGCCATGTTCATCCCAGAGCCAGCTGCCAAGTCCACCTACAGCCATGACCATGGTCTCCTGTCCCACCAGAAGGACTCTCAGTCACAACCTGAGACTTATGGCCCTCCGGCTCCACCACAGCCCTCCGAGGCCATATCTCTGCCTTGGCCCTTCAACCCTTCTGCTCCACTCTGGTTCATCATTCCTCCACCTCCACCAGGCTCCCGCGTCCCTCCAGCTCCGACTTGGTCTGTCATTCCCCTGGCTTCGCCATGGACTTCCAGGCCTTTTCCTGCATGTGGGCCCTCCACCCCTGTTGCTCCACTGTCATCCATGCCTGTCTCAGTCTTCCTTGCCCCTGGCTACGCCTCACTCCTCTAACCCATCAACTCCGCCTTGGTCATCTGGGCCTACAATGTCACCCTGGTCCTCCATGCCTATTGTGTTGCGCTGGTTCTCTATTCCTCCAGCTCTACCTGGGTCTCTACCCAACCATTTTGGGTCTCTACCCAGCCAAGTCCGACCCCCCTTTTTCATTCAAAAAGCTGTTTCACTCAGATATATGTCACAATAGAGAAGAAAAGATGATAATGCTGTTTCACGCTGACTTTAAGTGATTACATGCTGAAATGTTTGTAGAATCATTAACCATATGAGCAATAATAAACAGATTGTTTGAAATATTTTAGTAATTACAATTAACCGTTGATGGGCAGGTTGATGCTGTTTGGTTGCTGTTGAACTTCATAATCCTATGATTCTTTTATGAATGCACCTGTCATACCATTAATTTGATAACAGCACCTTATAAGACAGTCACCACTTTGTGATATC